CACCCTTTCTTGTCTTCATCTTTCTCTCTGCTCTTCTTCTCTTTACTTAGATTTCACGTGGCAGGTTCTTGATGACCTCCATGGAAGTGATCATTTCCCCATCCTTGTTTCCTTTTTCTCTTTTCGCCCTTCCCTCTCTTTCCCTAGGTGGCAGTTTACTAAGGCAGACTGGACCCTATTTACCCTCAGTGCTGCTCTCTCTGACCTCTCCCTTCTGCCTCTCTCTCGCGCTCTCCTCCTTTTTCATGACACTGTCTTCAACGCTGCCCTCCGCTCTGTTCCTCGCTCTTCCTCTCGGGGTCCGCGGAAGTGCGTTCCCTGGTGGAATGCGGACTGTGCTCTGGCTGTCCGCTGTAAGCGTGCAGCCTGGAAGAGGCACCGCCGTAGGCAGACGACCGATTCTTTTCTTTTCTTTCAGAAAGCGAGTGCGGTGGCCTGTAGGGCCATCCGTACGGCTAAACGTGAATGTTGGGCATCTTATGTCTCAACAATTACGTCCGAAACCCCTCTGGCCCAGATCTGGAAGCGCATCCGCAAGATAGCGGGTAAGTTCGTTCCCGATGTTTCACCGGTCCTTCACCTCCATGATACTCTTGTGGCGGACCCGTTGCAGGTCGCTTCCGAACTGGGTTCCCACTTTTCTTCTGTTAGCTCTGGTCTTCATCTTCCCCAATCTTTCCTTCTTCGCAAACCTGTCCTTGAGTCTTGTCCTTTAGATTTCTGCACTCATCTTCAGCTTCCCTATAATGATCCCTTCTCTCTCTCTGAACTTTGTTCTGCCCTGGCCCTCTGCGGTTCTACAGCGGCGGGCTCCGATGGTATTCATTATGAGATGCTTCGCCATCTCCCTCCGAGCACGTCTCAGTATTTACTGAGTCTGTATAATCGGATCTGGGAGTCGTCATCAGTCCCTGAGGACTGGCTCGATGCCGTTGTCCTCCCTGTTCGCAAACCAGGGTCTCTGGGTACTTCCCCTAAGGACTTTCGCCCTATTGCTTTCACAAGTTGTGTCTGCAAACTCTTTGAACGTATGGTTAACGTTCGTCTGATGTGGTTCCTGGAACACCATCACCTCCTCTCCCCTTCTCAATTTGGTTTCCGCAAGTGCCGCAGCACGACAGATGTCCTGGTGAACTTGGAGGTCTATATTCGTACTGCTTTTGCTGCGAAGACCTCCGTTGTTGCCGTCCTTTTTGACCTGGAAAAGGCTTACGACACCACTTGGCGTTATCATATCCTATCTCAACTTCATTCTTTTGGCCTTCGTGGTCATCTCCCTCTCTTTCTCCGCAGCTTCCTCTCTCGTCGTTCCTTTCGGGTGCGCCTTGGTACCGCTCTCTCTCCCTCTTTTCAGCAATACGAAGGTGTGCCCCAGGGTAGTGTTCTGAGCACTACTCTTTTTCTGGTTGCCCTCAATGGTCTTCTTTCCTCTCTTCCTTCTGGTGTCTTCTCCGCTCTCTATGTCGATGATCTTACCCTTTGTTGTCAGGGTGATGATTTGCCTCTCCTTCAACGCCGGCTTCAACTTGCAATTGATGCCGTGTCGTCTTGGGCCACAGATCATGGCTTCAAGTTCTCTACTTCTAAGACTTGTGCCATGACTTTTACGCGGAAACGGGTTGTTCTTCGTCCCTCTTTGTCACTTTATGGTCATCCCCTTGAATACAAAGATTCCGCGAAGCTTTTGGGGTTATTCCTTGACACTCGTTTGTCTTGGTCTCCCCATATCTCTTACCTCCGTGTTGAGTGCTCTAAGGCCCTTACCCTCCTTCGGGTCTTGTCCCATACTTCTTGGGGGGCAGATAGGCGCACTCTCCTTGCTTTACATTCCTCTCTCGTCCTGTCTAAGCTCGATTATGGTTGCCCTGCTTACTCGTCTGCTTCTCCTTCTACTCTTCGCCGTCTTGATGCTTTGCACCATACTGGGTTGCGCCTCAGTTCTGGTGCCTTTCGTTCGACTCCCATCCTTAGCTTGTATGTTGACACTAGCTTCCTGTCTCTTCAGGACCGCCGTGATCGCTACTGTCTTCGCTATCTTGCGCGGTCCTTGCAACATCCTTCCTCTCGCCTCTGTCGTGCTTTAACTTTTACCCCTCCTGCGGATCCTGTTCCTCTTCACCACCTCCCTCTTTCTGTCCGGTTATCTCGCCTACAGGATTCTCTTTCCGTTCGTATTTCTGATGTTTCTCCTCGTGTTGTTTCTTCTTTGCCCCCGTGGAGGGTCCCTCTTCCGCGGTTTTGTACATCCTTGACCCGTATCACTAAAGCTTTTACCCCTCCTACGGTTCTAAAACGCCTTATCCTCGAGCACTTTTCTTCTCACTCCCGCTCCGTTTCTGTCTTCACCGATGGGTCTAAGTCAGCGGACGGTGTTGGCTACTCTGTTGTTTTTCCTGATCGCACTTATATGTGTCGCTTGCCTCCGGAGACTAGCATCTTTACAGCGGAACTTTATGCTATTCTCTATGCTCTTCGTCTCCTGCTTTCTCGTTGTCAGTCTTCCTTTGTAGTTGTTGTTGACTCTCGTAGTGCCCTCATGGCTCTCGGCTCCTTTAATCTGGTTCATCCAGTAGTTGTCGAAATCCAGCATTGGCTGTTTCTCGTTCACAGTAAATTTAAGTCGGTTGAGTTTTGTTGGGTTCCCAGCCATATTGGTGTGTCTTTAAATGAGCGTGCGGATGCTGCCGCCAAGGAAGCTGTCCGCTCTTGTCCCATCTCTCGTAAAGGCATTCCATATTCCGACTTTTACCCGGTTATCCATTCCTCAGTCCTTACCCGTTGGCAGGCTTCTTGGATGTCTGTTACTGGTAACAAGCTACGTACTCTTAAATGTTGTGTTTCCTCGTGGCCATCCTCCTTCCACCGTAACCGGAGGTGGGAAACAGCTCTGGCGAGGTTGCGTATTGGCCATACTCGCTTAACCCATGGTCACTTGATGGAGCGCCGCCCTGCCCCTTATTGTCCTAGTTGCATTGTCCCTCTTACGGTCGTGCATGTCCTTCTTGAATGTCCTGACTTCCAGGACGAGCGTGTGTCTTGCTTTCCGACCGCCCCTCACGGTCACCTGTCCCTCGATAGAATTCTTGGTGACTCGGATACATTTGATATCGTTCGCCTTATGCGTTTTTGTTCTCGTATTGGCATCCTTGGTGATATTTAGCGCCCTCTGATTATTTGGCGTATTTGATGGTGCTACATAGCCTTCCCGGTTTGGTGCCTTCTTTTGATAATTACTTACTTACTTGGTGTTCGCTTTATTAGCTATATAATTTTCATACCTTTTCTCAGCTGCTCTTCTCACACTGACATACTCGTTCCTGGTTCTCTGATATCTCTCTCTTCTTTCTGGTGTTCTGTTATTACGGAAGTTCCTCCATGCCCTTTTGTTCTGCTCCTTTGCTTTCATACATTCCTTATTAAACCACGGATTCTTCCTCTGCTTCTCTGTTTTTTCCTGTCGGGCTGGGACAAACCTGCTTACAACCTCCTGACATTTTTGGGTGACATAGTCCATCATGTCTTGTACGGACTTGGTTCCGAGTTCTGTGTCCCAATGTATATCCCATAGGAATTTATTCATTTCCTCATAGTTTCCCTTTCGGTACGCCAGCCCTTTGGTTCCCAGTTCTTTTTTGGGGGTGATAATTCCCAGCTCAACCAGGTACTCAAAGCTCAATACACTATGATCACTCATTCCCAAGGGGGCTTCCAACCTAACTTCCCTTATATCCGACTCATTTAGGGTAAATATCATGTGTATACTCGTTCCAGCTTTCTCATCTGAATTCTCTACTACGTCGCTCGTTTTGGTATCATTGTGTTCGCAATTAAATTCCCTACAGATGTGTATGAATATAATGTACAAAAGCCTGGAGTGCCTCCCCGCAGGAAAGCCTAAAGTTACCCGTGAACGAGCACCAATTTGTACACTGCAACCTAATGTGTATACTCGTTCAGTTTGATAACATCAAATTTCGTGTTACGTCTTTCATTTTGGTATCAAATTGTTCGCAATAAAAAGGCGCGTATTTTAAAACTAGTCCTATAATAATAGAGCAATAACTGGAATTTTAACAAATATTTAAATTCTGGACGCTCATCATCACAAAATTATTTATGTCTTTCCAGTGTTCTGACATAAATTTTTGTGTTACATCTTTCATTTTGGTATCAAATTGTGTGCAATCTAAAGGCGCTTATTTTAAAACCACTACCAGATTGATCTGATAAAATTAAAAATTTTAACAAATATTTTAAAGAGTGATTCAGTGCTGCGTCGTTGGAACCTATTCAGTAGAAGATTGAGTGACAAGATAGTCAGTCAGTGGAACCCGAAAGTGTTTTAAAATTATTTAATTAAGGACCTGCCCGAAACGCTGTGTGTGCTAGTGGCTTTACAAGAATGTAAAAACATCAATGCTATGTACTCGTGTGCTATGTACGAGGGGCCTCGTAGCCTGGTGGATAGCGCGCAGGACTCGTAATTCTGTGGCGCGGGTTCGATTCCCGCATGAGGCAGAAACAAATGGGCAAAGTTTCTTTCACCCTGAATGCCCCTGTTACCTAGCAGTAAATAGGTACCTGGGAGTTAGTCAGCTGTCACGGGCTGCTTCCTGGGGGTGGAGGCCTGGTCGAGGACCGGGCCGCGGGGACACTAAAGCCTCGAAATCATCTCAAGATAACCTCAAGATACTCTCATAAACCCATTGCACCTTCTTGTATATATATAAATAAATAAACTCCTGTGTATAAATAAACAAAATTAAAAAGTCAGTTTTGGGAAAGATCAGTAACCAAAGAAAATGCAAGGAGCAAGATGGCGGGCAAGCGAGCGAGTGACGTCATCACAACAAAAACAAGCTGCTACACGAGGTGTAGATGACGACCCGGGAGATAACACTGCCGCTCCTCAACTGATAGCAATGTCGCCACTTAATCACCAACAACAAGATAACAACTCTGATAAGAACTGCAGCTACCATCATGAAGAAGATAACACTGATGCTCCTCACTGTCTTAGAGACGGTCACCTGTGACCACAATACTCGCCAAATTGTCCCTCCCACAGTACTCTCAGGACACTTATGGCAGTGTGTGTGGTGAGGCCACACCACTGAAGACATTGAGGATATACCACGAGGGAGAGACAAAACTGTTGAAGGAAGGAGTCACTGGCTCCACCTGACCACCTTGTTCCTCGCACTCTCATCATCCTCAGTAAGTACTGGAGTACTTTCTTCACCACCATTGTCTTACACCTCAACATGCAATTGTTGGGGTGTGGAAATAGGCCTATACAATTGTTGAGGGTGTGGACATGGGCCTAAGGAATTGTTGGGGTGAATTATATATTCAGGTTTGGATATAGGCCTATTGAATTGTTCGGTTGGGGACTGGCCTAGAGAATTGTTGGGGGTGTGGACGTGGGCCTATGAAATTGTTAGGGTGAATTATATGCCTATGGCATTGTTGGGGTGTGAACATTAGCCTATATAATCTATGTAAATAAAAATGGAAATGTTCGTTTGTTAAAAATCGCTAATCTCCGAAAGTTCTTCACTGATTGCTTTGAAATTTTCACACAATGTTCAGTTTGCATACGAGCAAGGTATTTATATACATACTATATTGATATCACGTCTTTGACGGATTTTTTTTTAAACTGTTTTTCATGTGAGAAATCTTCTAAACCTCTTTACCGATTGCTTTGAAATTTTGATACAACGTGGCATTTGAATAGGCAGGTGTTTTTATATACCTACTATATACATGCCTCACCTGTGACAGGAAAAAACATGCTTATTTTGAAAAACGAAATTTAAAATTTACAATTTATTTACAGACGAAATTTACAGACGAAATTTAAAAGAAAATCGTGGGCAACATTGCCGGGTGTGAGAGCCTCAGTACTGAGTGAGCAACGAAGGCTGGTGCACGCAGCATGAGCTAACAGCACTGCTGTTCAGCTTGTGACCACAGCATCACCTAAAAATGTCCAAATACATGTGTAACTGCTATTATTTATTGATGATAGTATTCGTTACCGTGGTTCGTTATAGTAAACACAAATGTAGATACAGTACTTATATATAACGTGTGCATATAGTGTAATAACAGCAAATATATTTTTACAGTGTTTAACCCACTGAACTGTGCAACTTGCCTTGAAGCGCTCGACGGGTGGTTGTGCAACGCACCTTGAAGAGCTCGACGGGTGGTGTTAATGGGCCTCAGGGACCTCATATGTATAGCGTACGATTCAAAGCTGGCGAGAGGTGACGCGGGTACGAAATGGATGCCTGAGGCCTCCAGTGATCGTCCACCATTTTAAATTCCCTGCATGCCCCAGGGCCGTGTGGAGCCTCAGTTTCAAGGCAGCAACCATGTCTGACGCATTGTCTATGAGCTCCCGGTCCACGGTCAGCTGCGGTCCAGCAAAACCACTGGTGTACTTGTATGGGAGGATTGTGAGACTTTTGTCCCACAAATTTCAACATTTGATGATAACGATGCTAGTGAGACATCTTTATTCCTCTATACAGGTGATGATAAGGCTTAAATAAATTATTTTATGACATATATTGATCAGTAATTCATGGACCATCTCGTTGCAGAGACGAACAGATACACTCACGTCCTCATTGACTCTGGCATTTTACCTGCCTCTCGCATGACACCTTGGAAAGACACGACCAATGAGGAAATGCAAGTGTTTTTAGCATTCTGCATGATAATGAGGCATTCAGATGAACACATCATGCAGATTATTGGAGTAAAGAAGACAGCCTTGTTCCATCTCCCGTGTTCAACAGGTACATGTCACGTGATAGGTTCGTGCTGCTTCTCATGTGCCTGCACTTTGAGAACAATGATATTGAAGATAGACGCGACTGACTATGGAAAGTGTGGAAGATATTTAGTGATGTGAGAGGAAAGTTCCGTGGACAGGATCAGTTGTGGATATTCTGTCTAGGTACAGAAAGTTGTACCAGGACAGAATGTCGTGATTGATGAATCGCTAGTCCTCTTCAAGAGACGACTGGCGTTCAAGCAGTACAGTCCATTTAAGCGGCATCGGTTTGGGTTCAAGTTTTTGGTGCTATGTGACTGCGAAACTGGTATTGTCATGTTCATGATACTGTATTCAGGTACTGACGTTGACATACTAGGTCAAGATATTCACGGATTTTCAGGCACGTCACAGGGTTTTCACGTGTCATGAAAACACTCATGGAACCATTGCTGAACCAGGGGGCATATCCTGTTCCTTGACAACTACTATACCAGCCCCTTGCTAACCAGAATGCTCCTTGACCACAACACCGTCGTATATGACACTGTCAAGACCTTCAGGATGGAAATGCCAGTGTTTAACATTGGTATTGCAGTGGGTGATTGCCAGCTGCGACAGTGTGAAAAAATGTTATCAGTGTGCTGGAGAGACAGACGCGAGGTAAATATGTTGACCACTATTCACACCGGTTCCATGTTGGACAGTGGCAAAGCGCACTTTGCAACACGGTTCCCAATATATAAACCTGATTGTGTCATTGACTACAACATAAACATGCGGCTAGTTGATAAATGTGACATGATGCTTGGTGCTGTCGAGTGCTTCAGAAAATATGTGAAGTTGACGATGAATTTTTTTTCCCTCATTGATGTTACAGTGCTCAACTGTTTCAACATGTATCTCGTGAAGTAAGGCAAGAGACCCCCATTACGTACATTCAGTGTTGCTCTAGTGTCCCAACCTCTCGTAAAGTATGGGGTGAAGGGCTGTGATGCCAAGTGGGGTGCCAGCAACAATGCCTCACACAGTTCCTGACAGACTCAGGAGTAATGAGCACCTTGCTGTACTCAAGCTGGGTTATATGCCAGGCACAGACTAACGGAACAAGGGTAAACGTGCTTGCGAAGTTTGCAAGAACACACAACGTAGGGTACACAAGTATCTGCACCTGGTGCTTTGAGTGCAAACTTTCCCTATGCCCCGTTGACTGCTTCATTGATTATCACACTCGTGGAGTTCCAAGTGTATTGATAGGGGATGTATAGAGTGTGTGATAGTGTACAGTGTGTAAATATGTTATAAATGTACATAATTGAACATGAAATATTGTAAATATGAAAAATGTTTGTGGACACATTTGTTATACATGTAACACAGTGTCTTGGAACAGTACGGATGTTCTACTGCCAGAATATTGCATATGTGTTCAATATACATAGGATTAGCCAGAAAAAACAATATAAATGCATTTGTAATTGTGCAGAAAAAATGCCCCCCATCGTATGATATATACCTACAAGATCCCTGAGGCGCATTGTGCACCATCCGTCGAGATCCTCAAGGCTCATTGCGCACCACCCGTCAAGAGCATCAAAGTGCATTGCACAGTACAGTTGTTAAGGGGAAGACAAGATTTAAAAACCGTTTTTAATGGTTTATAAGGGAGGGGGGGACCCGGGTCACTCGGCGGTTGCTGGTGCAGTTGTGCGGGAGCCTAAAATTTGTCATGATGGTTTACCCACTGGGCAAAGTTTTGGCTTCGGAGGATGTTCTAGTTTCCTATGGGCAGCCCCTTTCACCGCTCTTGCGACCGCTGGGTTTGTCCCCCGGAGTCCTTATGTCGGTTGCTGTGTCTCTGGCTTCCTCTTGGGGTTTTCGGGGTTTGGTGGATGGCGCCTTCCCCTTCCCTTGCTCGATGTGTTCACGGATGCCTCGTCTCTTGACTTGGGCTTAGTGACCAGCGCTCACCAGGCCACGAATCATTCCTCTATCCACGGAGTGTACAGTTGATACCAGCTGCTTCCATTTTATTTGTAAGACATTCGGGCGCCCAGAGGTGGACCTCTTCGCGTCGACGTGATCTCGGCATCTCCCATTATCAGTGGTGCTGTTCCCCCTCGCGGGGAACAGCGCCACTGAATAGCGCCTTACGAGGCTATCGCGGTGGACGCTTTCCGGCAGGACTTGTTGAGGTGGAGGTCCTAATTCCTTTCTCTCCCAGTCCAGCTGCTGCTCCGTGTTCTGACTCGACCTTAATCCTATCAGCGGAGAGGGAATCTCCTGGCCCCATGGTGGCCGGCCCAGCCTTGGTTTCAGGTGCTGCTTGCTTGGTGCCTGAACCCGGGAGTCTTTCCGTGACTCTGCCTCTTTCAGCAAGTTTGGCCGGTAAGGTACCTCGTTGGTTCGTTGTGCTCTTCCGCTCTTCGCGTGTGGGTTTTTTTTACGTGGGTGTGTCGCCCTTTGTATGGTGATCAGGGGACTTTTTTAAGGGGGCATATCAATGAAAAATTAAAAGTTGTTCAATTTGCTTATAAATTTTTTAATACAATGGTTATAGAAAGGGCTGCAGCTGGTCCAAGTTTCATCATCACACCCTAAACAGAAAAGGAGAAAAAAAATAAACAACGAATTATGCAACGAATTTTCAAATAGTTTCAGGGAACACATGTGTCAACTAAAATCATTTCTATAACACTCATATATTAAATTAAGCACATAATAAAGGATTCTAGTGATCAGTTTTATAAAAAAATGTTTAGTGCAATAATATAATTTTTCAAAGTTACCCTTCTAAAAAAATATGCAATATATGATATTTATAAATTTTTATAAAATCAACAAATAGACTTTGGACTAAAATGTCTACTAGATTCTGTAGAAGCACAAACGCTACATATAAGGTGTAATTTGCATGTAAATTGAATAATAAATAAAAGCTCTGAAGTAATTTGAAGGTGTAAATTACTTTCCAGAGTAAAATAAAGATCCAAGTTCGGCCACCTGTAGCTGAGCTTGACTTTGACAGATTTCGTTCATAATTGGCACCCTTGCAGATAGGCATCCATTGAGCAAGGTGTTTAATGTTGTCCCACCTGCAGTCTTCATTTCAGCGATGGTATGAAGTCTCCTGGCAGTCTGTCTGCAATTTCCTTTCCCTTCATAAGGTGTTGTTGGTGTCTGTCAATTTATTTTGTCTTTTTTCTCTCTTGGCTCTCTCTGGACTGGTATCTAATATCGCATGTTTTCACTTCTTATTGTGCGGCATTGGCAGAGCCGCTCTAGCTTGCTTTTGAGGTGCTTGTCACTTCTGCTCCTTTCTGCAAGCTCTCTCGAGCATTTTTTCACCTCTGACCTGCTCGTGCGCCGCCAGACACGTCCTGGTCTTTGAATCGGGTGCTCTCTTTTTTCTCTTCTCCTTGGTGGC